TTTGCAACAGAAATGCTAAATGGATGGTTTAACTCTCATTTTTTCAACACCTAGCAGTGTTGCTGTTAACTTGCACTGCTTGAAACAAGGCTGAAGTCAGAAATCTTGTGTTCTTTTTTCTAACTCTCCCACCAGCATGGAAAATAATTGATATTATTATCAAATAATTGATATACTATTTTCAAATGTTGATTCTTTAAGTTAAGATTCAGGTATTCTACAAATCCTAGCTGATTTTTCAAATAGAAACACAGATATACGTCTTTTGAAGCTTGAGAAGCTTCAAAGCTTCTCAAGGCAAAACAGTCCCAGCTCTCTCAGCCTCTCCTCATATGAAAGTTGCTCTAAGCTCTTAATAATCCTTGTGGCCCTTCTCTGGACTTAATTCTGTATGTCCATGCGTTTCATGTATCAGGGAGCCGAGAAACAGGCACAGTACTCCAGATGTGGTTTCACCAGTGCTGAGTAGAGGGGAAGGTTCATCTCCCTGCCTCCCTGGACCTGCTCATAACATTCAGCCTTTATGTGTGTCTTTATCAATTCCATTCCTCAATGTTTTAAACATAATACTGAAAAACTGGGTGAACTCAGTTACAATGATTAATTCTTTCTTTTCCTTACCAACAATGTTAAAACTTACTTAGGAAAGAACTTGATGAAGAAAAGAAGATCTTAATGGCAATAAAAAACAAAATAATTCCTCCATATTTTGAATCAGAATTCAGCAAGGAGTTTTTCCTGAAAAAGGTAATGTGGCTGAAAACTGGATGAGTTTGTGTTAGGCCTGGTACTGTTTGCCATACTCCCACAAAGACAGTTGTGGATTTGCATCTCAGCCTCAATTTATCTCAAGAAACTATTACAGAGGACAGTTGTGGTAGAATTAATCTTGGGAATTATATGCCCTTTTCAAAGGAAACATATCTTGGAGACGGTATATGTTTATTGAATACAAACTCTATAGATTCCTTACATAAACTTTCGAGATAGTCTGATTCAGAGCAGAAGCTGAACCTCAAGTCTTTTCACTTACCCCTTAAAAACCTCTCTCTGCTAACTAGAAAGGGTATTAGTAAGACTAACCCTCCTGGGTTAAAAGTGGCCTTGGGAACTTTCCTGTTGTAATCTCACAGGATAAATGCTGTAAGTGCATAAAGCATACTCAAAGATGTACTTTGGAATCTGAGGTGTACTATGCATATCTTTTTTTATAGTTACTATAGAATCATAGGATCATAGAATGGTTTGGGTTGGAAGGGACCTTGAAGATCATCAAGTTCCAACCCCCCTGCCATGGGCAGGGACACCTCCCACTAGAGCAGGTTGCTCAAGGCCACTGGACTTGGTACTACTTATTTGATTCCGTTGCAACTCCCCTTTTTTTTTTTTCCCCTTCTTGTTATTTGTTTGTTTGTTTGTTTGTTTGTTTTCTTTTTGTTTGTTGGGGCAAAGAGGGGTGTCCACTGGGCTTTTTTCTAAATGTTTAGTTGGGAGACATAAGCCCTCTTTCTTTCTTTTCTGTAGTTTCCTGATGTGGAAGCACTGTCTATGGAACTTCCTCCAGCTCAAAAAAAGCAAAGTGGGAATTTCCCTCTAGAGCCAATCAAAAAACCCAGTACAGGTAATCTATTGTCTGGCAACATTTCAGTATTTTCTTTGTTGTTTTATCCAGTTGTCTCATTTCATATTGCAGTTAGATTTAAGATTACATTATCTGACCTCATGTATTCCCAGTCATTTTGACGCATGAACTACTTGCACCATAATGGGTATATCTATTCTGATACATGAAGCATACCCAGTAGCACTCTCTAATGTTGACATCCACCAGTCTGGAATAGGCTGTGTAAATTCAGTCTCCCAAAACAAGATGGCCTTTTCCCTGGCCAAAAATTGTGTATCCAAGAGTGTTTTGGGGGAGACTGCTAAGCTGCACAGTCAATACCATACCAGTGTTCTAACAAGTTAACAGTATAGACTAGAATGTTCCAGTATCTGGGAATGTACCTGTTTAATCTACTAATATAAATGTAGTCTATGAGACTTCTATATTTACTGTGTTAAAGGAGCCTTTGCAGCCATCATTGAATGTGGAAGCGCCATAGGGTTTGGATGCAAGGCTGAAGAATTGTGCTGTGAATGAGAAGTGGATACATGCAAAATCCTCAAGCAAAGCTTAAATGGAATAAACAATAGTTAGGGGTCGATGAGCAAGAACCAAGGAGGCCAAGTTTAGAAAAAGGCTAGTATGACTGCAGAAAAAAAAATGGGAATGGAATTCTGAAACTCAGTGGTAAAGAGGGGCAGCTTGGGGACTGGAGCATAAGCAATATGGAATAGGAAACATGCAGTCTAAGGATAGTTTGGAGGATATAGGAGGAAAGCAGTGAATGGATGACGGGAAACAGTGAATGAGTAAACCATCATCTTAGGTTTGAGCTTTACAGCACTGAGAGGAATACTTCAGTTTGGTTTGAAAAGCAGCCCTGACGAGTTGCTGAAATCACATGGTGAAATTAAGACGTACACAGCAAAGAATCATTACCAGGAAAGCAGTCCTCCATGGGGCTTTATCAGACCCCCACTAATTCCCATATTTCCTCTTTTTGCAGTCACCGTATTGCAATCACCAGAAGGCCTGTATTGGATTGTCCATTAGCCCTTTATGGCTTATTGCTCAGTTAGGCAGAGAACAAGAAATTACTAATCACAATTTACACATTTTTGATCCCTATTGCCCAGTGGCACAAAATGCCACGTGCAGAATTTACCTAGCCTTTCATGGTTATGTAGACAGCTTTCAAAGGTTGTCTAAATTAAAGTGCCAAAGACTTTGTGATTATTTTTTTTCATGTGTTTATGAAAATGATGATGATCATGAAAAACACTTGTCACAGTATGCCATTATTTTCCCTTCAGCATCTGAATGTCTCAGTACCATGAGTGATTCCTCACCTTCACCTGGGCTTCCACTGCAGGCTCATTCCGAACAGAATGAAAGTTCCAGCAGCACAACAGGTAAATCTGCCTTCCAGAATGTAGTTTGGAGCAGGTTAATATCTATCTTCTTACAACTTTTGACAAATTATTTACAATAGAACTTTAATCCACCTGGCTCTGCTCAGCTTTCTGAATACATCTGAATGCAAGACAGGCAGAAAAGGAGAGAGGTATAAAGCTAACAGGAGAGATTCTCTCCTCCATCCTAGGAGACTGCTATAACAACATGGGGATGATGGGGGTGGTAGAAGTGCAGACAAAGCCAAGAAGTAATTTCTCTACTAAAAAAAAAAGTTGCACAAGCCAATTTTTCCTGCTCATTAAGGCCTGTAACAGAAGACTAGAACAGAGTTTGCTGTGGTTAAATGAGCTTTGCCATTTAAACATCCCTGTTCAGTTTTGCTTTCCTTGCTACAGCGACTGTCGTTCACTCTGTTTATGCATCTGCTTGTGGTGATCATCAGTCTTCGATGATGACCACTGGAGAGCCATCACTCTGCTTTAGTTAGCCTGAACCTTTGGCTCTCACATAATGCAACACCAGCTGCGCTTTGGCAGTGCATACTTGCAAAATCGTCCTTGCATCCCATAGTCATAGCTTCCCTTCTCCTCTTCCTTCCCCTTCCACACATACTGGTACCCTTTCTTAGTAGTGGGACTTTGCAAGAGCTATTGCCTTTAAACTTGCCAAATTTCCCCTGTTATTTATGCATAATCCGTAGCCCTCGGGGCAGATGGACTCATTTGTACTTCCAGAGCCACAGGGTACCTGATGAAAGGAACAGCAGCTTGAGGGGGTTGGGGTTGGGTGTGTGTGGAGAGAGTTGCCAAAACTACGCTAACTTCTAATGTCAAAGCATAAATATTGCTTACTTTTAAGCAAAACAAGAAATTCTTGTGTTTTTTTTCCTGATGTCTATGCTTAGCTTTTTTTTGTACACTCTGGACCATTTGTGGTGTAGATGGGAAGTGCCTCTCTACCACCTGCAGTTCCGTTATCTGGAAATATGAGAGGAATCAAGAGAAGATACTATTCTCAAATAACATTTCTGCCTCCTCACAATAACTAGCTAACCAGACAGCATTCCAGTTTGCAGTCCAAAATGAAAAAATCCCTAATTCCCTTCTGTACAAAATATTGATCTAGAGGTTGACCTCTGGTGAGAAGAGAGTCACCATAACTGTCTTGTGTTTTCACTTCAGAGGTTAGCAGACTTCATAATAAACTACATGAGTCTTAGGCTATCAAGCAAAAGAAGTTGTATTTAGATCTAAGTTGCCCTGGATATCCCTATGCTCAGCCTGTCTCCATTATGCAGTAGAGCATGGTTCAAAGATGAAAAGATAGCTAAGATCATCTTAACCCCAGAGTCAGAATCATACAGGTCGTCCATATGAAAGAATTGTTGCAGCCAAGACAATAAATCCTGCTTGGAGACAGGGCTCCCTAGTTGGTTGTGGTGGTAGAGTGGGCCTGCACTGGAATTTGTTGTTATATGGACATACAGATTTGACTTGACCAGCCTGTCAGGAGTGTTTCTGCACAACTGATCATTGTGCTGTGAAAGCATACCTTTGGAATAGTAATGTTCTTGATTTCAGTACTTGGGGTTTTGTACCTCCTTTTCTGTTTTCAGTCACTTTCACAGGTGTTTATATCTTCATTGCGAGATCCCACTGAGATGCTTCCAACTAATTCATTCTAATAAGTACTGTACAAATTACTTATTAGTTAAGTTTTAATCCTTGCTACTATTACTAGAGTTTCCTAATTGATCTCTTAAATAAAAATGAGACTAGTTCTTCTGTCCTTGTGCTAATCAAATGCTCTCATAGAAAGTAAAAAATCTTATCTGAACAAGAACTTCAGGATTAGGCTGACTATGATGCTTAGTTTCTCGTGCTTTTGGAAATCTTTTCTTTCCAGACTTAAACAAAGCTGCAAGATCACAAGACATACCCTTTCAACGTAAAGTTCAGAGCCTGTTGGTGAATGCTGCAGGAGAGCCAAGAAAAGAGAAAGTGAAATTACCATCATCCCTTCAGGGGAGAAAACCAAATTCCATACCAAATAAAAAGGTAAAATAACATCTTTTTTGTCAATATTAATGTCCTCTCAGTCATCTCTTTTGCATAAGATCTTCATTCTGGAGCAGTACTGGAAGATATTTTGAATCTGTTTCCTGAAACATAGCGATTGCAATTTATGTAGAAGTTTACTGGCAATTCTAAAAGTACCTTTCCTTTCAACTGTTAGGACAAACTTACATGCCAAAAGCATAGTTCTGCACCAGGCACCCACATGAAAGCTCTGGCTTCCGAAAGAACGGAGCTTCCCCATTCTCCTGAGACAGCTCAATGTCTTAATATGTCTGAAAACTCAAACCAGTATAAATTTTCAGACAATATTCAAAGTGCCTCTTCAGTTTTTACTCAGAATGTCTTTTTGTAATTCTTCTGGATGAGTGGACAGAGGTCAAATGCAGGTTAAGTCACTCTGAACCTAACTTGGTGGCCACCAACTTTCTCTGTTGTCTAATATTTTAATTCTGTTTGCAAAGATAGAGGATCCTGTCGCAGGAAAGGTCAACACATCTTCTCTTGCAACAACAAGACTGCATCTTAGTGGGTTCCACCTCATTCCACCCAGAGTGACACTTGGAGTGCTAAAGGAAGGCTGTACCTATGCAACCACTGTGATCCTGAAGAATGTTGGTGTGAACTTCTCAAGGTCAGTTTGACTTTTTAGTACTTTGGTTTTTAACCGTCCAAATATGCATTGCTTGCTAATTGTCAACCTTTTGATATGATTAACATGAGATAACAAATGGTATTTCTGTATTTGGAATCGTTTGCTAATGACTGACTGGATAGAGGAGTGAAGATAATATTAGAGAAACTTCAGCATTATTTGCTTATTGGTGTTATTAGGAAGATGGAAAGCAGTAAGGAACAGCAGGTCCTGTATGCATAGTCCTGGCCCATTGCAGCTGATTTACTGGTTCTTATTGAAGTTCTCAGGTTCAGGGACCAAAGTCTTTCATGGTAAGCAGTATTACATTTGGCTTTGGGAGATGTTGCTGGATGCTCAAGTCAGACAATCTAAATGGGCACCGGTGTATTCAGGCAGACACAGGTCTTTAGGTGCATTGAGAAACAGCTCCAGTGATGACACTGGGAGCAAGCAGAGGATGAGAATGGAGTAAGGCATTTACTTGTGCATGCATTTCCCTTACTGGCTGTCACCCTACAGTGCATGGGACAAAATAGCACTGCACTGTGTTCCAGCGAGGTGAGGATAAGCTAAGTCCATTTCTAGATCTGCAGTCCAGCAGGTTGTCTCTTCCCTGCACGACAAATGACAGGAAATTATCGTATTTACCCAGCTGCAGTTTAAGGACTATATAAATACAGTGAGAAAATGCTTATGATTGCAATTCTGTGTTAAAATTCCCCTTTTGAGTGACTGCACATATGTTCTTCAGTCACTCCTGCACCAGCACAGTTCCAGTTTTACTTTAGCAGTATTCAGACGGGTGTGCTTATGACCCCTGAACTCCCAGGTGCCACACATGGGACAGAAGAGGGCAAAGCATATTCCTCCCCCTCAGTTTGCTCAACAGCCCTTGCCTTAGCTGTGCTACGTGTGCCTCACTTTTTAGCTTAAAGGAGAGCCTGCAACAATGGTTTCTAAATCCTTACAGCCTCTGAGCTCCACCTAAGCTTTGTCACTTCAAAATAGCTTCATTTCAATGGTTATAATCCCACCAGATGGTTTCAAGAATCGCAGTACTTGGTGTAAAACTTTCACTTCAGATGGCTCAAAAGCCCCACCGCCAAAACTAAGCTTTGTAAATTCCTGTGTTCTAAGATAGCTATTCCCATCAAAGTTTTTAAATGTCAGCCTCTCACTCCCACCTATCCCCAGTTACCAACTGCAGCTGGAGAGGTTTTTAGGTTTATTTAGCAGTTAACTGAAAGCTGCTGTTTAGACCAACCTCATCCATTTGTCCTTATGGACAGTTATATACTGTTTTTCAGAAATTTAGAGTAAGCCAGGCTCAGACCACCCCTGGGTCTTTTTTCTGCTAGACCCACAGGTCCCAGGAGAGGGAGGCTAAGGAAAGCATGGAAATAAACATCCTACTGTCATATTGATCTAGGTTGTTCAAAAGCTGGTTCCTCTTCTTAGCACTGGTCTTTTCCTGCAATTTTAGTGCTAGATAAGGAAAATAGTTAAGGAGGGCATTAAACATTCTTGGGCTTAAATGTGCAAGTCTCATGGCCCTGATCTGCTGCAGCTTCTGGATGCTGTTTCTTGGAGCACTCTTCACATGTGCAAACTTCCCTCTTCTGGATGCAGGTGACCTACAGTTTGAGGCCCTCTTTAAGAAGGGAGTCAAGAGAGGTGTCACAGTGAGACCATGTCAGCAGTCACAGCATCCCTTTACTATGGCACCACTGTGCTGGAATGAAATAAACATAAACATTTATGTCTGACATTTGTTGTTCCTCCTCCTTGGGTAGCTAATTATTATTAAAAGAGGAGCTCACAGGAGACTACTTACCCTGCTGGGATCATCATGATCTCTTGTGAGTACTCAGCCAGCTAGGCACCTTAGAAATCTTTTCAAGACCAGCTGAGCGACCACTGTGCAGCTTCTTCCATCAGGATACCAGAGATTTTAATTTTTTAAAAAATGAGCCTAGTTAGAACCATTTTTTCCTTTAATGCACATTAAAGCATCATGGTGCATGCCATGATAAATCAGCAGATCACACACCAACATTCTAAACCTCAAGCTGTGCACATTATTTATTTTTTTTCCATGCCAGGGTGCTGTATGTAGAATCTCACAGAAAATACCACCCTGATTCTGATAAATCCAGCTTATCTTGTAAGTCTTTTACTTGATGCTTTGAGAGGAGAGCTAAGTGACTAACTAGCTGCTGAATGACAGCAGAATGTGCTGAGGGCAGGGCCAATGGTGGACAGGGCCAATGGTGGACAAATCTGAGCTATGTCTGCCTCATGCTAAAGCTAAAACTTGGTGTGACAGGATCACTAGTTAACTATGTGACTTCCAAACTGTCCATACCATAGCATGAACTTGTTGGAACGTCCTATGTTTCTCATAACAGCCAGCACTCTAGGGAAAGTGGAGGAATTCCAGTTTGTAAGTCTGCCAGAACTTTCCATAAGATGGAGCCATATACTAGGAATGCCTCCTCTACTGCCTTTCCTTTAACAGCTTCTGGTGCAAGTGCGTGCCAGCAACTGTTCTTCAGGTGGAAATGAAAAACCACAGGATAAAGTCCAGAGCCATGCAAAAGTAGAGGTCATATCTGCTCTTTAGATCTTTAGGGATCTTAACAGTGGAAGCTGTGTGCACAAAAGGACTGCACAGATGTGAAACAATCAGTGAGATATGAAGTGAAACTACTGCCTTAGTGGGTACCGTGAAATTGAAGAAGATTTATACAAAATTTATACCAGAATCATGCCTTCTGCAATAGAATAATATCAAAGGACATTAAATAAAGATCATTAAGGACTTCTGGGTATACAACACACAGGTGTTTGCCAAGAAGATGTAATTTGTACTTCAGCTTCCTTTGTGTATGTAGGCTTAGATGCTGGTGTTTCACGTTCTGTTGTAATGAGCAGCATAACAAGCTCTTTGGCCCATTAATCTGCTCCTTTGGGATTTTTTTTTTTTTGTTGCAAACCTGAGCCTTGGCAAGAAGCTCAGGAATACCATTGTAGCCCGAGTTGTACATTGTGATGGGAGGGACAAGCTAGGAAGTTCTGCTGTCATTTGCAGAAGTGGAGGAAGAGCAGATGGCCTGCTTCCCAGCAGTGCCTTCTGCCCACCTGGAACAGTTTCTGGCAAACTGATTCCCTTTGGCAAGAAGCTCAGGAATACCATTGTAGCCCGAGTTGTACATTGTGATGGGAGGGACAAGCTAGGAAGTTCTGCTGTCATTTGCAGAAGTGGAGGAAGAGCAGATGGCCTGCTTCCCAGCAGTGCCTTCTGCCCACCTGGAACAGTTTCTGGCAAACTGATTCCCTTCTCTTTCTGACAGGTTTCGGGTGAAGCAACCACCTCCACACACAGGACTGAGAGTGATGTACACACCAGGACCTGTAAGTTACACTGAAGATCTTTTGGTTTTTGCTCGACTCAGCTGGCCCCTCAGGCCATCTTGGGGTCCTCTAGGACCAGCTGCCTGAGAATAGAGCTGGCAGGGTACATGATTTGTTTAAGTGATTTGAAGTGATGCTGCCTTTAACCAAGCACCCTGCGTGCTCCAAATCTCAGAGCCTGCACCCAGAAACATGTTAAGTTCAGTGGACAACAGCCGGTCAAGATCTGAGGTTAAAGAGAGCTTTTTTGAAGCAAAAAGGATACTCTCTGTATCTGAGTTTTCCTACATTTAGGGTACTTTTTATATCTCTGCTATCTTACACCTAGACTTTATCTCCTGTCCTAATATCTTCAAGAGCTGAACCTAGTAAACTCTTGCCTCAACCATTTCTTCCCTGCTTGCAACTATTCTCCACTTTAAGTCTTCATCTAGTAAAGCACCATGGCACGTGAAATTGTTCCCATTAAGTAGGAAGCTTTCAGGCTTTCTGCTTCTGTTCAGTCTCTCTTTTCACTTGTGTGTTGTATCTGAATAAATACTGTGCTGGCCAGTATCCCTGCAGCATCCAGATAATAGCAGGCAATATTCTTGCTAGTGCTTTTCCAGGCATGGAATCAAGAAGCAATGACTTGTGCAAGGAGACGGTGCCAGAATGCAAGTTAAATCTCCTTGCCCAGAGCCCTAGCTGCAACTTGGTATTTAAAATCATAGAATAGTTTGGGTTAGAAGGGACCTTTAAAGGTCATCTAATCCCCTGCAACGAGCAGGGACATCTTCAACTAGATCGGGTTGCTCAGAGCCCTGTTCAACCTGACCTTTAATGTTTCCAGGGATGGTGCATCTACTACTTCTCTGGGCAACCTGTTCCAGTGTCTCACCACCATCATCATAAAAAATTTTCTCCTTGTATCTGATCTAAATCTACCCTACTGTAGTTTAAATTACCCTTTGTTCTGTCACAACAAGCCTTGCTAAAAAGTTTGTCACCATCTTTCTTATAAGCCCGATTTAAGTACTGGAAGGCCGCTATAAGGTCTCCCCAGAGCCTTCTCTTCTCCAGGGTGAACAACCCCTCTCTCTCAGTCTGTCTTCATAGGGGGGGTGCTCCAGTCATCTGATCATCTTTGTGGCCCTCCTCTGGAACCCCTCCAATAGGTCCATATCTTTCCTGTGCTGAGGACCCCAGAGCTGGACACAGTACTCCACATGGGGTCTCACCAGAGAAGAGTAGAGGGGCAGAATCACCTCCCTTGAGGTGCTTTTGATGCAGCCCAGGATACAGTCAGCACACGTTGCTGGCTCATGTCCAGCTTTTCATCCACCAGTATCCCTAAGTCCTTCTCTGCAGGTCTGCTGTCAATTCCTTCATTCCTGGCCATATTGATACTGGGGGTTGCCTCTACCCAGGTGCAGGTCCCTGCACTTGGCCTTGTTGAACCTCCTGAGGCTCACATAGGAACGCTTCTTGAGCTTGTCCAGCTCCCTCTGGGTGGCATCCTGTTCCTCAGGCGTGTCAACCATACTACTCAGCTTGGTGCCATCTGCAAACTTGCTGAGAATGCATTTGATCCCACTGTCTATGTCATGATGAAAATACTAAACAGTACTGGTCCCAATTTGGACCCCTGAGGGGACACCACTTGTCACCAATCTCCATCTGGACATTGAGCCATTGACCAATTCCTTATCCACTGAACAGTCCACCCAACAAATCCATATGTCTCCAATTTAGAGAGAAGGATGTTGTGGGGGACTGTTAAAGGCCTTACAGAAGTCCAGACAGATAGCAGAAATAATTTCCATTCTTTTTTCCTCTCCACACATTCATCCCTTTTATATCTCCCTTTTCTCCCTATCTCTATGTTCTTTTTAGAATAGAATGAAATAAAGTATCATATTTCAGTTGGAAGGGACCTACAATGATCGTGTAGTCCAACTGCCTGACAACTTCAGGGCTGACTAAAAGTTAAAGCATAGTATTAAGGGCACTGTCCAAATGCTTCTTAAACACTGACAGACTTGGGGCATCAACCACCTCTCTTTTTGGTTCTCCTCTCAGCTATCCCAATTCCCCTTTTATTTCTGGAACCTAAAAGGAAATTTAAGGAGAAAAAATGCAGAGACCTGGCAGTTTTCTTTCAATTCATGGGGAGGCACTGAATGTCTTTCAATTCAATGTGAAGAGACACTCTTTTGTACAGACCTTTCTAGTGAATCAGATACTGGGTAATTGGCAGCACAATCACATGTGGTGGGCATGAAGTCTTTAGTTTCATCAAACACGCAGAACAAGAACCAGCTCCAAGGACTGCTGGAGGGGACTATGTATGAAACATGCACATTACCTGTGAGTAATCCTCTGTCTCTCCCAGGTGGCAGCAGGCTTGCAAGTTGAACTGGAGATAGAGATTTTTGCCATGGTATTTGGAGGGGAAGATACTAGTGGCCTTGAAGAAATTTCCCATGATATTGAAATATTAACAGAAACAGAGACTCTCCTCCTGCCTGTGAGAGCAAATATCCTTTGTTGTGTTACTTCTCATACACACCTTCTAGCATCAACCCTGGGGACCGTCCACCTGTCTGGAGCCTTAAACATCATTTCCAGTAGCAAGCTTTTCTGTCCTTTTCAGAAACATACAAATGGGTGTTTTCAAAAGCACAACAAATGAGCACTTTAAGATTCTGACACTGAAAGCAATTTACATCAGAGTAACAAGGTTTTGAAAAGTGGGGAAAGGAAGAATGGTAAGCTCAGAAAGACATGGCTTTTAAAAAAATAAATGAAAATAATAGAATCTCTTTTCCCACCACCCCTGATGGAAATCCTTAACATATTTTTGAACCTATCTGGTGGTACAGCCTCATGGGCAACAAAATCATGGATACTATACAGACAAATGAGACAATCCCTCTCTCAGCAGAGGCACAAGCACAGAAGTGCATGAATGCTGCCAGAATCAAGCCCAGTTCAGTGGGCTTTTAATTGAGGGCAGAGGTAGAGTAAAAGAAAACAGCAAAGTCAAGAACTATTATTTCTCTTTCCCTTGTACTCCAGAACCTATAGTTATTTTTTTAGATAAAATTACAGGCTGATTTTTAAGAGCAAGTTCAGAAGAATGTGTGAAGTTCTGCTTGACTTTTAATCAAATTTACACTTAAACTACAAGAAGAGGTCTTCTGGAAACCTATACAAGAAGCAGTGAGGCAAGGTGTGTCCAAACACCAGAAACTCCACTCCTGGTAAGGGCCACCCTTACCAAAGAAAGAACAACTTCAGGGTCCTCTGAGACTGAGCAGAGCACTAGCTAAGAGCAACTCCATCGAGGTCTTATATGCTCTGGAAGTGTCATTTAAACTCCTTAAATTTACGTCATAATGACCCAAACAAGGCTTTCATAACCATTATTGTGGAGCTGCACTAGCCAGGACTGGTGGCACAGCAGCAAAACCAGCCCCTGTTCTGTTTCCACTCACCCAGTCCTCAGGCACACAGTTGCAGACCAGCTTCCAAAACCTGTGCTCTTCCCCAATATTTTACCTGGTCTTTAATCTTTGCGGCAGTAGTCGAGATTCAAATTGTATCACGGCCTTATTTCCAGAATTCATTCCTGCCTCCACACATATTAGTTAGATAAATGTGCAGAAATGATTAGATCCTTAACATGATATTCCACCTGTGTTAACCAGTGACATTTATGAGTGCCGCCCACAAGGATACCCCCAGGGTGGGATGGCAGCAACAGTCCGGGCAGTTCCTACAAGCTCCAAGCCACAGTTCCGGATTACACTCCCCCGAAAGCTTTCTAGTTAAAGTAAGTACTGGATGCAGTCATACCAGCTGTGAATTAAAGTATGGTTGTTTTACCTCCTCTGGGCTCCTGATCCGTATCAACGGCAAATGTCACGCACGCATCACACAGACATGACTAATTAAGACAAGGAGAGGGAAGCAGTGGATGACATTAACCAAAGGATTCACTGCAAGAGATTTACAGATTACTACAGCTGCTCAGGTCACAGCAGGGCCTCCCCAGTCCTGTCCCAAATCCTTCACTGAACTGTCTCCGCATTAAACAAGTCGTCGAGCCTCCCGGCAGCAGGAGGCTGGATTTATTGCAGTTAAGCCCTAATAAATCAGCCTCTCTTTAACACTCTTCACTTTCTAAAACCACATCTTACTTCTGACCCTTTGACCCTGAACGCAAGTCTAATAAGGGGCAGGAGTCTTACAGGCAGACAAGGCAACCTTAATGTGACAAGTTCAAGCACACACAACCCTCTGCATGCCTTGTTTCATACAGCACGTTTCTGTAACCTTACAGAATCAGACTGTATGGAGAATGGGTAAGTTCTTCCCTGCCAACAAGAAAGCCCTATTGGGAATTTCTCCTCAAACCACCAGGCAACATGTTTAACATTAGGCTGGTGTTTCATCTCGCCCATATCAGCTCAGGCACTCCACAATACAATCGATGGTGACAGTTCATAAACAGGAACCCTAGGGATGTTTCTTCTCTCCTCAGCTCAAGGGTCCCCATTTGCCTCCTGTGTATAACACTGACATCATCTTTTTCTTTCAACTTTAACATCTGTAAGTCTGCCATGTTATCTTACAAGTCAGTAAAAGAAATCCCAGCTGTATCTCATTTCCTCTCCTCTGGAGAAAAAAAAAGAGACCACATCAGTCAGTTCTCAAAAGAAACTTCTTGGGGAGACATGCACCTCTGACTGCTGCCTCTGCTCTAGGACTGCCCAGAGTACAGCAAACATAGGGTGATTTTTTTCCTGTTTAAATATCTTCTTCCCTTTTCCAGTGTGGAATTTTACCCCCAGAGTAACGTGCAATTATAGTCTAGAAGAACACCAAATTTAATGCCTTCCAGTTTAGGGGCTTACAGTGTGAAGCTCATCAGTGAAGGCAATTCGTACAAACTTCTCTCACTTCGTGTTGAAATGGAAGAGAAGTACTTACCCAGTCAGCTCACATTTCAGTGAGACACCCTCATCCCAACAGAAATTCTGACCATTAGAGGGTCCAAGTGGAGAAAAATTAACTACATGATACTCTCCTCTCACGTGGCTAATCCAGCTAATCACAGTTGTTATTCCCAGAGCCAAATTGCCCTTCTGTTCTGACAAAGTCTTTTTCTGAAATGATAATTCCTCCTGAAGCTGACTACAGCTACCCTGAGCTACCCAAGCAACTGTACCAAGTGCCTCTTAAAATATTCCTCCCCATAAAATCTCCTGGATTCAAAACCATATCCATCACAAACATGTCAAGGAACTCTGGACTGGTTCGTTTAGTATCACAAAACATGAAATACTGACACTCCTAGGTTAACTCCTGTATTTGGTTAAATAGTCTTGTTCAACTATCCAGAATAGAAACAGTTAAGTCTTTGCAGAGGCTCTGTGACAAATTTTTTAAGTTCATATCACCTTTCCCAGGTGCTTATCACCAGAGCCAATGATTCTTTCACTGAAACCTAGAAACTTCCCTGCAATTAGACTGGATCACAAATATGCCACACCTCCTAGTAGAGACCAACAAGCAAAAAATCACTGATGAAGCATCACCTGACCAAACGTAGCCATGTATCTCATGTATAATTTCTCAATTATTTCTCATATTTAAAAACATTTCACAAAGATTCTCTTAATATACTCAAATTTAAGTATCTCATAGGAAGCTGCTCATGAAAGCCTTCAGTATTCTAAGTAGATTGCCCATCCTGAAATCACGGTCATAATTTTTATGCCACCCCATTTGTGAAATAAAAGCAAACAATCTAGCTGAAGCCCATGCAAGAACCTTTTCTCGTGTTCCCTTCCAAGAGCAAGAGTCCTACTGAAAGAGTTCTACAGCCTGTAGCAATCCCACTGCTCACACAACACTTGCAAAGAATCTGGACATAATTACTGGGTTTTCTTCAACCACTGTACAAAGGTAGAGTTGGGGTTTGGGATTGTTTTTTTTCTTTCCTTTCATGTTAATTTTCTCTCCTCTTTCACTACAGGTCAGAGCCCTAAAAGAATAACATGAAGATCAGCAATACCGAAATACCTGAATTGTAGCCCAATGTTATGGAAATATCCCAATGTTGAGTTTTTCATTTATTTAATCAGATTAACATGAATAAATATTTTGGCTGTCCCCTATTAATGGGAAAAGTGGTCCAAAAGTTGCAGAGCTTTCTGACGTGGCAGTCTGAAGCACAGACAGTGGAAAGATTACTGTATTTCAATCTGTGTTTGATACTCTGCATTTCGGAAGAGTGCTGAATGGTTCTTGATAGGTTTATTTTGGTTTTAAAAGGGGTTTGGTTTCTATAATCTGTGCTGAGGTATCTGAAATCTTTTTTAAATACTGACCATGCAGCAGGCTTCACTGAAGTCATCTGGGATTCTTCAAAAAAGAGCTGCTGATCTGCTCTGGTCTTCTCATTCTTAAGTTTCTGTTTGCTTTCACAATCATAGGCTTAACTTTCTGTGCAATCACCCATTTTTAATTAGCTGCAGACATCAGATGGTGATTACGAGTACACATGTGATTATGTCACACGAGACAGAGAGGGATTGACAGAGGGTTTCTGTGTATCTTCTCTTATTCACTATCAGACATGATCATTTTCAAATGCTCATCTGCACTTCTCCATAGTAGAAGACTGGGCCACTTAGAGATGGCCTTTTTTCCTGTCTTTGTTCCTACTTAACACAGTAGTGACTAAAAGAAACATCTCAGCCTCTTTGTGAGATACCATTAATTTGTAAATCCAAGTGCACTTCCACTTTCTTTTTATTAATTCATTTCCAAAGCGGTGTTTCCTGTGCCTCATCCTTCTTCCAGGATGTGATATCCCAAGAGATGGGGAATTTTCCTTGATACATGCAGATGACTTGTTCTCTCAATGCTTTACAATGACTCAGAATCCCATGATTGGGAATTAAATAATAGCTTTTGCCAGCATGAAATATGAATGCCAGTTTTGGACTCTCCCATCCCCACTGTGAGACACATATTGTAAGGATACCTATTTTAAACAAAGCCCGCCTATCACATTTTAAGTTAGCCTTGTATTTGCAAGTGCTTTCCTGCTCACATTTGTAAATCTACGGGATTTCACCTTAGAAAGGGCAAGGTGAAGTACCCAAAGATATCAGAATACTAATGTATTGGTATACTGTTGGAACAGGATAGACCTCTTCCATTTAAAGCATATGCTGAGCTCCTCAGTAGCCATCTGAGTACTGCACTGGTGTCTTCCACTGTCCCACCAGCCATGACTGCTGTCATCAGCTCTTTTGGGTCAGACTGGACCTATATAACCAAAGCTGAAAGCCAGCTCAGGAGGGTACCAGAACAGATACCCACCTGTGGTCATTAAGCCCTACCCACAGATGAGAAAACACCCCAAGCAGCAGTGTCAAACTTGATCCAGGATTCTCCAACAGCAATGATTTTGCTACCAACTCTGCTGATTTCTGCCCTGATGCTTTTCAGTTTTTTCAGTTTTCAGCAGACACAGCCAGGAGTCCTACATCAGTCTACTTTGGGAGTACATTCTGGGCACTAAGGCAATCCACTGTTGCTGGTACAGACTGGTCACAGGTGCTACAAATCAGGGAACCTGAAGGAAAGTTCAGTGGGGAAGCCTGTGTCAGCACCTGTGGAGAGAGGACAACCATTTTCCACCACCTCAAAGACCTTTTCTTCCAAGGATTCTTCCTAAATCCCAGTGACAGCAAACAGAGACAAATGTGAAGGAATTCCAACTCTTCCGACTTGTATCAAAGGAGACATCCTGTCATCATCACGAGATACTGACTCTGCATCCTGAGTCACTCTTCTATACCACCATCTACATCCTTGTCATCAGTTCCTGAGTTCATTTGCACCTGTGGCTGTATTTTTTCCTCCCAGGCCTCCCAGAGGATGACCAAACAGCAGCTCATTACTTAAGTTCTAAAACAGTTATCTCCTTGGTGTTGAGGTAAGCAGAGCATATCACACAGAGGTGTAGGAGTCAGCCTTCCCCTTTTGGTACCTCTCCCCTCAGTCATCACAGCTGAAGGTGCACTGTGGTGTCATGAGCCACCCCTCCATTTGCAACACTTTTGTTTCCCCAGCAGGCTAGCCCATTTCAGCAGCAGCTGAGGTGGATACAAGAGGTCAACTGAGGTTACCAACACAATTCATCATCCTGCAATGCCTCCTCTCCCCCCACTGCAGTAATCCCTCTTAGGAGGGTCTCCTTCAGGAGGAGTAACAGAATAAAACACAAGATGGAACAGAACACAACAAGATGGAACAGATCAGAATAGAGTAGGTCAGGATGGAGACATGTTTGAGTGGAGCTGTTTGACCACAAGTTTCATCCCTATCTGGACAAACAGAAATTTATAGAGGCACCCTGAAACAACTGGCAGAGCTATATGAAGATTGCTACTTCCATAAAGAGTCTGGAATTACAGTATGAAGTGCTGCTGGAAAAAAAACCCAGGCCCCTGACAAAGTTATTTGCTAACAACAGTTACTGTAAGAGGTGTGGTTATTACACCCGAGGTGCTGCAAAAAGATTGACCAACTGAACTGTCTGCCTTGTGCATAATTGCTAGTAATAGAGAACTTAAGTCAAAGACAGTAGTCAGTAACAGCTGGGAAGCAATTAAAAATCCCTATGAAGATTGGGTTAGAAACAAGTCCAGCTTTGAGTACCTGTTCAGACACATAAGTCCAACAATCACCAAAGTACCCAGATGCAGCCCCCACCACATCCACCAAACCTGTGGTTACAGGTGAAAAAGACAGCATGTACTACAAACTAATAACTTACCAACAGCAGAAGAGACTTGCTGGCTTTATCCTGCCCCACTGCCCCAGCTGTGAAAATAAGTCATTTTATCTGATACAGGACAAGTACAACATTGCAACAATTCAGTGCAATTCCTAGGAACTGGAGAAAATACAATGCAAACAACCCACACATCTTCTGCTCAGTCTGCCACCTCTACAGAATAGCATGGCAGCCCTTTCCTTTGCTCCCCTAGATTTCATTCTCTGGGAAAAAAAATATCTTTTGAGAACTGACACACAGGGCAAGGCAGTTGAGGCTTTACTAGAGAAATATCAGGACAAATCTCCACAACCAAAGCCGTCACATAAAGCATATAAAAATATGTCTTTAATAGACTGCAGCCCTGTTTTTCCCCATCCCACTAAAAGGTGAGTGGCTGCAGACCATGTTCTCACACTCTGGCATAAGTCAGTGCTTACAGCCTCTGGGCAAAGCCACCTGCCACAAACCACCAGCAGGTGTCAAACCAGCATCAAATCTTGCCAGCTGCCTTCTCTGGATAGAGCATGGTCTCACCAGCAGTCCATGTGCTGGATGCACTCCATTGGGTCAACGCTGCCAGAATGAGGTAGGAGAAATCAACTCCATTTCTAACAGGCATTCCACTGAAGGAAAAGTAGGTACCTTTGACAGGCACCTCAGAAATAGTTCAATTGCATACATTTGCAGCAGACAAGAGAGTTCATCTCAGAGACAACCATTCTGAGTTGGGGTTATATGCTGGGTTATACCACATGGGGAGGGGACAGACTTGGTCTCAGTCACCGGACATCATCACAGATGTTCAGCCACAAGAACACTTCCACAGCCAGCACTGAGGTTACATGACCCCATCCAGGTGCTTTGGGTCTTGGGCAGCAAATGCTAGAGCACTGCAAGAACCATCTTCTCTTTCTTCTTCCTTTTCCTCTTCTTCTCCTCAAAACGGTCCGTAGCATCCGCAAAAAATGTCACCTCATCCTTGGCCTCAATCTCCCTCTTCAGATACTGGAGCCCTGCCATGTTGAATCCCAGCACATCCTGTAGAGACAGACCAGCACCACACTGTTGGGCACATCTCAAGCTTGTTAGGGCCAGAGGGTCCTGCACCAGCCACCCTCTACTAAGAGGTGATGAAAGCAAGACAATTCACAGATTTAAATAAAGGAACATTATTTAAAGTGTAAACTTCATCTGAGCAGGAGAACAGTCACTCCTGCCTCTGTTCCCCACAGTCCTCTCTTAAGAGCAGCTATAATCCACTGTATTTTCTGAAAGACAAGTTGCTGGCAGGCACCTGAAGTTGCCTATGACAAGGTGCATGGTCTGCATTATTTGAGAGACTAGTAACCCACAAAGAAGCCCAAGAGAAATAGAGAGCTTATTTACCTCCTACGTATTTAGAAACTAGCAAGCCAAAGCCCAAATACATAGGTCAAAAAAAACCAAGATAAATGAGGGAGGGAGCATGAGCGCAGGCTCATCACTGGGTAGTCTCACATCAGGAAGAACGTAAGGAAAAGGTAGCCTGTTTGCACAGGATGAAGGTGAAATGGGATCAGACCCTCAAATTTCCCACTGGACACCAAACACCACACGCTCCCACACAGCAACAAATAACAGGCCCATCCTGTTATCCCATATCCTGGAAAAGGGGCGGGTGCCACACTCACCCGGGCCTCACTGACTCTGGAGATGGTGGTTTTCTTCAGACTTTCTATCACTGTCACCAGCATGTGGTTGCTTGTGATCTGCCCAAAATGTATCCTGGGAACAAAGAAGGCAGTGATGTGTCACAGCATTGTTCTTAGGAGTGACTCTCTTCACGTAAATGGCACAAAGTGAGTTCATGAGATGCACCAGCACGAGGGGCCCAGAGGAACCGGCAAGCCCACCAGTGACCAGAGACCTCTTAGGGCTTCCTTGGTTCCAGGTTCTGGACAGCAGATCTGTCTGGGCAGATGAAACAGTTTTAAATTGGAAGAAAAAAGATTCAGATTAGATCTCAGGAAGAAGTTTTTTACTGAGGGTGGTGAGACACTGGAACAGGTTGCCCAGGGAAGTTGTGGATGCCCCATCCCTGGAAGTGTTCAAGGCCAGGCTGGATGTGGCCTTGAGCAACCTGCTCTGGTGGGAGGTGTCCCTGCCCATGGCAGGGGGGTTGGAACTAGATGATCTTTGAGGTCCCTTCCAACCCTAACCATTCTATGATTCTATGAAAGACTCACTTAAGCAAGAAGAGGAGAGCTCGGCACAGGAGTTCAACTTCTGAACCCAGGTGAATATATTCATTGAAGAGTCTAAGCAGGTCAGGGACATAAGAGAAGGGCAGCACCA